CCCCCCCCCCCCCACGCTCGGCTCCCGCAGCGTCTCCACACCCACACTCCGCTGCCGATGTTCCCTTCTGGAGGAGGAACACACATACGTGTGCACACACACGCGCGCACACACACACAAACGCACTGACACACACACACGCACACCAATGCGCGCGCGTGTCCCGGGCGCACGCACTTCCACCTGCGCCGCACGGAGACGGGTACGCACGCCCGTACCGCGCACGCGCGCACGTACACACAGACGCACACGCACACGCACACGCACGCACGCCTTGCCCTTGCTCACAAGAGCACAAAATGCAGATCCCTGCAGGGACGGTAGCAGGATTTAGAGCCGCAACTGACACTTACTGAATATTTACCACGGGCTCAGCTTTTCCCGTGGGTCGTTTTGAGTGAGGTTTTACAACCAAGCACCTCTGGGGCACGTCCTTTGAATACCCCCGTTTTGCAGATGGGGAAACTGAGGCTCTGAGCATCATACAGCGTGGGATCTTTTGTGCCTGGCTCCTTTCACAGAGCGTCATGTTTTCAAGGCTTCTCTGTGTCGGGAGCGTGTGTCCCCTTCAGGCGATGGCCGTGCTGACCTGTGGCATATCCGCTGTGGGGCGCCCGCCGTCCTCAGCACCCTGGCCCACGCCTGCATTTTTCCAGTTCATCCAGAACATCCTCCTGTTCATGGGGGACTTACCGGAACTCGATTTCACACTCTGGACTTCGGGCCCTCGGATGGTTTCCGTTCTGTCGTGCCCTGGCTTTCTCCCCCAGGTGCCCTCAGGCTGACAGTCACACTGCTTAGCCCTGGGAAGAGCTCTGCCCTCTCCGGGCCTCAGTTTCCCTATTGGCAAAACAAACAGGTAGGATTAAACAGTTGAGGGCCCTGCGCTCCTCAGAAGCCTCTGAGCCTGTAGTTTGAAGCGAGGAGAAGGGGTTTCTAGACTCTTGCCCAGAGAGGGTGTGTGTGTGTGTGTGTGTGTGTGTTAGTGATGACTTCTGGCTCTTTCTCCCATCACATGTGGAGTTGGGCTCTGCCTTGAGCCTCAGTCCTTCTTCTGTCCTTCCTACCTGACCTGACCCATCTGTAATCGTCCCCCGCTCCCCACATCCCTTGTCCCTTCTCCCCCACCCTCCCCGTTTGGGTGTCCCTTAGCCGTGGGGTATTTGGTACCTGCCACTGCCCATCAGGTGCCCGAGGTCAAGCCTGACGGGTGACCCGGTGCTGACTGCGGCCTCCCCACCCCTCTCTCCTGTCAGGACGGGCGGATTGAATTCTCCGAGTTCATCCAGGCACTGTCGGTGACCTCGAGGGGCACCCTGGACGAGAAGCTGCGGTGTAAGTCCTGTCCCCGGGTTCCGTCAGGCGCACACTGGCTGGTCCCAGGCTGGAGGGAAGCCAAAGAAGCGGGCCAGGCCGTCTGTCCAGGGCTGAGAGAGCGGCACAGATGTCCTGCCTTTCCAGGTCAAGGGAACTTTCCTGAAGGTGGCCGTGTAGGAGGAACGTGGCTTAGCGAGGCACGGTGGACAGACGGGGCAGGCAACAGGTGCAGACACGGGCCACGGGCAGCTTAGCGTCGAGTTAAAAGGCCCGATGCCAGCGCTGGCCGCACCCCTTGGGAATTCACTGTTTTGACGACTGGTCTCACTCATTCACTTCATTCACTCGTTCACCCAACAGATACCAGCCCAACACGGCCACGTGTGCGGGCCAGGAGGCGGGGACTCCACGGGGGAATCTGATAGGCAGGGACCTGCTCTCACCAGTGTCAGTCTGGCATGGGGACTTTATTTTTAAAAATCCCATAAAACTGCAGCCGAGGCAGGAAGGAGTGGGTGAGCTGACAGGAGAGGAACTGTTAAGAGTCAGGGGCTGAGGGGCGCCTGGGTGGCTCAGTCGGTTAAGCGTCCGACTTCAGCCAGGTCACGATCTCGCGGTCCGTGAGTTCGAGCGCCACGTGGGGCTCTGGGCTGACGGCTCCGAGCCTGGAGCCTGTTTCCGTTTCTGTGTCTCCCTCTCTCTCTGCCCCTCCCCCGTTCATGCTCTGTCTCTCTCTGTCTCAAAAATGAATAAACATTGAAAATTTTTTTAAAAAAAGATCAGGGGCCGAGCTGGGGCCAGGGGAGAGCTGGCCGGGGCGGGAGGAGGGGAGAGGGTTGCAGGCAGGGGAAGAGCATGTCCGAGGCCCCAGGGGGGAGAGAGTTCCAAGCTGGAACACGGGGTGCCAAAGGGAGTCTGGAGAGAGGATGGGAACAGCTGAGCTAGAACAAGAAATGCCTGCAGTTTCTTTCTTTTCTTTCTTTCTTTCTTTTTTTTTTTTTAGGAATAAAGGAGGATTTTATTCATGTAAAAGCTATACCCCGCCCCCATCCTGGGGGTATTATTTGATTTTCTGAGTCAACCATAGCAGGAAGCTGCATGATTGTGGATGGGCCGTGGGTGGAGAGGAGGGCGCGTCATTAGGGGGTCCGCCTGGTCCCTACCCCACTCAGCCCCGGCCTCAGCCTCCACTCTAGGAGACCCAGAGCCCCCTTCCTTTCCACTTTTGGTTCTCTCTTTCCTTCTTCTTTTTTCTTTTTTTTTTTTAGTTTATTTGTTTATTTGAGAGAGAAAGATAGAGAACAAGCAGGGGAGGGGCAGAGAACGGGAGACAGAGGACCCGAAGAGGGCTCGGCGCTGACAGCAGAGAGCCTGATGTGGGGCTTGAACTCACTCACGGAACCATTCGATTGTGGCCTGAGCGGAAGTCAGAAGCTTAACCGGCTGAGCCACCCAGGCGCCCCTGGTTTCTTTTTTTGTTTTTAAACCCTAGTTGAAATGGTGTGTATGTCAATGTGCGTGTGTCTGTCTGTCCGTCCGTTTGTCCTGATGTGGATCCTCGTGGCCGATGAGTGTTGGGGCCCTTGGTCTCGCCTGTGTGCTGCGGGGCAGGAGGAAGGGGCGTGGCCCGGCCTGCCCTGCTCCAGGGTGACCCCGCCCTGGCTGCTTGCTCCCAGGGGCCTTCAAGCTCTATGATCTGGATAATGATGGCTACATCACCAGGAACGAGATGCTAGACATTGTGGACGCCATTTACCAGATGGTGGTGAGGCCTGGGCCCGATGGGGTGGGAGCGGCAGGAGGGGCGTCACATGTAGGGCCAGGGCCTGGCCGCACAGCCGCTCTCCTGCCCGGGGTGAGAGTTGGCCAGGGGACGGGTGGCGGGCAGGGGCCACCGCCGCAGTGGGGCCGGAGGGGGCCGAGTGTTCTAGAGCCAGACTGCAGAGAGGGTAGAGGTGTGGGGAGGGGGAGCAGTCGGCACCTAGAAGCAGCCCAGATCTGGGAGGCAGATTTCTGGCCGGGAACCCACCGCCCAGCTTGTCTCTCCCTGGCAGGGGAACACCGTGGAACTCCCCGAGGAGGAGAACACCCCCGAGAAGAGGGTGGACCGGATCTTCGCCATGATGGACAAGGTGAGCCCGGGGTGGGGGGAGACCGGTCCTCGGCCAGGTAAGGCGTGGGCCGGCAGTGGAGACCCTTATAAATGCACGGATGTTCAGGGCAGTGGCTTGGCCTGCTGAGATATCCACTGGTCGCCTGCTGTCCCCATCAGATGCCCAGAGTGTTAAATAAGTTTCCCTGACACTTTTTCTTCTCTCAATTAAGAGAGGGGCAGCTTTTTTTGTTGTTTTTTAAGTTTATTTATTTTTGGCAGAGAAAGAAGGAGAGAGAGAGAGTACAAACAGGAGAGGGGCAGAGAGAAAGGGAGACACAGGATCCGAAATGGGCTCTGCTCTGAGTGCGGAGAGCCCAGTTCGGGGTTTGAACTCACAGACCGTGCGATCGTGGCCTGAGCCAAAGTTGGGCGCTTAACGGACTTGAGTCGCCCAGGCGCCCCAGCCTCCACTAAGATTCTTAACCTTTTTTACTTCTTGCCATGGGCCCCTCTGACATATTGGAGATGTCTGTGGGCATCTGAGAATAATGATTTTCAGTGTATCCAATCAAATCCATGGGGTTGAAAAGGAAGGGAATGATTTGGGAATATAGCCATCAAAATATTATTTTATTTTATTTTATTTTACTTATTTATTATTTTTTTATTTACCTTGGAGACAGAGAGAGAGTGTGAGTGGGGGAGGGGCAGAGAGAGAGGGAGACCCAGAATCCAAAGCAGCTCCAGGCTCTGAGCTGTCAGCACAGAGCCCGACGCGGGGCTTGAACTCATGGGCCGTGAGATCATGACCTGAGCCGAAGTCGGTCGCTTAACCGACTGAGCCACTGAGGTGCCCCTTTATTTTTTTAATGTTTATTTTAGAGAGAGAAAGGGAGAGAGAGAGAAAGAGAGAGAGAGAGCGAGTGCGTGAGCGGGGGGAGGGGCAGAGAGAGAGGGAGACAGAGGATCCAAAGCGGGCTCTGCATTGTCAGCACAGACCCCCGTGTGGGTCTCAGACTCACAGATTGCCGAGACCGTGACCTGAGCTGAGTTCAGATGCTCAACTGACAGCCGCCCAGGCGCCCCTCTGGGAGTCGTTTAAATGTCCTTCCGAGAGTGACTCCAGAGAAACGCATTCG